TTTTTGTATTTCATTGTAAGAAATATGATATATATCTCCATATACCCAGATTTTCTTTCACAAAAAATCTTTTTTTTCCTGGCATTGATTCATATTTCAGTGCATTGCTGAGTAATGTGTTTGAGAATAATATTTTCCATATTTTTCTTACTAATTTCAACATTCAGTTTGCAAACATCAGCAATATTGTATAAAAATTGAAGCCATGTGTTCAAGTAAAAGGTTGATCAAATTTTTTTGAAAACATAAAACTTTGGATGATCTTTGTCTTGTTATTACTTGTCTTGTTATTATTTTCACTTTTTTTTCTACCTTACACAATCATTTTTTTTAACCGACCTATGAACTTTTCAAAAGGCAGAAAACTCGTTAAAAAAGTTTTTTTTTTAATTTAAAAACATAGAAGCATCTTTTCTTTTTTAAAACCGATATGTCAGGGAAAATTAAAATATATTTAAAAATTCAATCAAAAATTAGAAAATTTTAAGCTTTAGCAATTCAAAAATATTTTTAAATGATTTTACTACTTACTTTCATATATTTTGAGTAATCAATAAAAATTTATATTTCTAAAATATTATTTATGCGGTATAACATCTTCCAAGATTGATGCTTAATTCTAATTTTTTTAACTTCTTTGACAAGCTTTTAAAAACATAAAATTAAATACTTCGGTGAAGCCAGCGAACAAGTTCTACAAATTAATATATTAATGCGTTTTATCTTACTGCGTTTAGTGATGATAAATGAAGACCGATTTAAGCTAATTTTTTCACTTTAATTTTCATAAATTTTCTTCAAAGTGTTAAAAATATATATTTACTATTATAAGTAGGAAAAAAAAATTATGAGAAAGATGTGCACAAATTTTTACAATACTTCTTTTTTAATTGTTGGAAAGTCTTGGAATTTTGGATTAGTCTGCAAAATGAAAAATACATCACCATAAAAACTTCTGTTCTAAGGATCGGATTTTCACAGTTTTACCTGAAGGATTTAAAAGGGTGACATCAAATATTTTAAATTATTAGTGCGAACTAATTATTAAATCACAGAAATAGACCCAAAAGGATATTTCCTGTGATGGTATAATTTTGAAAACCAAAATTTCCGTGAGGGACGAGTAATTACAATATGGAAAATATAGTTCCATTATTTTCGTCAGGAAATGTGCCGAATGTATGGCCCCTTAATGTAAATTTTACTTTCCGTGTATCTCGAAATTTTTTAAAATGAATCAAATTTTTTTTAGAACTACTGTAAAATCCGTTTATACAATAATAATATAAGAAAATAATAATATAAGAAAATAATAATATAAGAAAATAATAATATAAGAAAATAATAATATAAGAAAATAATAATATACGAAAATAATATAAAATCCGTTTATACCTTCCTCTAATAAAATTACTGGAACCGTATGAAACTTTGTGTTAGAATGAAGAACGGAAATGTTTGCTAAATTGCAATTAAAAGCAACAACTTCTAAATTAAGTTTTTACCTTAGTGAGTTATTTATTTTTATCCAAGAATCATTTTTAAAATGTTTATACACGATTGTAAATTTTTATTTCCAGTTCTATTGGAATAAAAATATACTATCGAATTTTTAAACAAGTACTGATTTTAATTTGGTGTTATCTTTTCTTCATCTTTTAACTTTTTAAACCATTTCAAACTAAATACAATTTTAAAAATTACTTAATAATTTCTTATAACTCCATGCTTTTAAAATTATTCTGCCTCAAATTTACAATAAATTTTAGGTTAAACAAAAGAACATGAATGGTATCCATCAAAGCACATCCACTATTTCTTTCCAAGCGAATTTTTCGTTGACCAATGAGACTTTGAACTTGGATGAAGTGCATGAAACTGAGATGGAAAAAAAAGTTGAAATCATTAAAAAAAATTTTTTTTTTCATTACTGTATCAATTTTTGATTTATTTGAATATTTTATATCGATTATTGCTTTGTCGAAATTTTAAAATCGGCTACTGTTTTAATTGTGAAATTTTGTAGTGCTGATTTGTTGTACTGTATTCTGACATTAATTTCTAATTTCAGAAAAAAACCGTTTTGCCGATGGTTTCCAAAATTTTAAATATTTTGTAATTAGTGAATAGGTTTATCTGCTTTTAGGTATAACAGTAATCAGGTACAGTGAGCAAAAGAACAATATAGGTATCTTTTGATCTGACGATCGGATCTTTACGTTCTAAGACTCACTCTTAATGCTTCAAAAGAATAAACAAAAATATGATATTTAATTAGTGCAGACGAAATTTTAAGCAACGAAATTCAGTCACGAAAGCGTACCTTCTTTGAATAAGCATACCTTTTTTTCGATGGATTCGAATATTTGAACCCCAAAATGTAAGCTGCGAACTGAGAAATAAGGTCCAAATAGTTTGGTCAGAACATCAGGTCCCTTAACCCCTTAACGATTGGTTGATTTTCAAGAAAACGGTCATGAAAGTGCCTATTTTTTTGGCTTTTGTATTTGTATTACGTATTTGATTAGTGCTACAACTAGTTTAAAATAAACTAACTATCCACAATTACCTTAAAAATATTCTGGTACTGCCATCAGGTGTGTAGAATGAGAAATAAAATGTTTTTCGGGCAAAAGAAATGAACTAGTTTTATTTCTATTGGCGCGTTACTACTGAACACTCCACTTCGTCAATATCACGGGAGCGAGAAATAGCGGGTGAAATCTCACCCCGTCATTTTCACGGGAGCGAGAAGGAAGGGGTTAATATTAATTTTACTTTTTGTGTATTTCTCCATATTTCGAGAACTTTTTAAGTGAATTGAAAAACTTTTACCCACAATTCTAAAATTAGTTTACCCAAAGATAATTCTATGCAAATCGTAACCTTTAGTAAAATATTTATTATTTTTTCTGCACTTATTTTAGAAGATGGTCTTTTAGTAATTGCCACATGTCTAAATGGCACATCAAGAGTACGAGAGACTCCATATAGTGTAGATACTATAGAACTAACAAGTCTCAAAATTATATTCGTTGTAGTTGTTGTAGCTTTTATGATTTGCTATTTTCCATTTGCATACGTCAAAATTTCTGGAAAGGAAGCAAAAATGTCTGCCTTTTCCTTTATTACAATGCTAGAAAGCTGTATTACGAACGTCATAAATCATATTATATATATTTTAAAGGGGAATGTGCGCAGGAAGAAAAAATTTAGATGTAAAAATTCAGAGTTTTCATAATGGTCAATTGCAAGAAACTGCGATTTATTCAGTGTTTAAAGCAATGCTTTCAAAAATGAATCGTCAAGTTGCACGATTTAGATTTTTTTACTTAAAGTGAAAATAACTTCTCTTTAATTTTGAGCATTCTACCTCTATTGCAGGAAAAGCATGATTCATGTTCTTTACCGTGTCTACTTGCGTAAATAATTCCTGTTACGGACATAACCACTGTGGCAGAAAAGCATAATTTATGTCCTGTTCTTGGTTTTTGCAATTGGAAATAACATACAATCTAAACATACAGACTGAGTTGCTGACAAGGCATAATTTATGTTCCGTCCCGTGTTTTTTAAGAGTGCAAAATAAATTATTTCACTGAAGGTGTTTCCTATTCGAGGATAACAAAAAGAGAAGAATTCCGGATGGAGTTTAAGAATTTTGCAATTGGTTATATGACAGTAATCACGCTTTAAAAAGTAGTTTCTGCAATCAATTCTATCACAACTCTGATCTCATCACGCGATGTGATTCTATTGCGTTTCATTACTTAACTATTATTTATTGAGTTATAAATACAGGTAAGCGTATTTCGATTTATTTTAATAAGAATATTAACTTTTACATTTAGTACATAAACATATTATTTACATTATTAACATATTATTTAGTACTTAAACATATTATTTATCTGATTAGCATTGACTACCGAATCCAGGACGCCCTAAGAAAATAAAATTTAGATAACCAGAGTCACATGTTTCCTTTAATTTTTTTAAAAATTACGACTTATACCTCTAATATCAAATACATATCTGTACACTGCGCCTTATTTATTTATTTATAAAGATTTCAGAATTTTAAACAGAATTGAATTTCAAGATGAATATTTTAAAACTAGTGGGCTGTGCCCCCTGCTCGCTAACCACCGAAAATTGCTACGCAATCTTATATGGTTTGCTTCGCAAACCAAGCTCGCTTCGCTCGCTACTAACTTAGGTACATTGCAAATGCACAAAATTCTAAGAATTCAAAACAATCATTCAAATCCATATAACAACTTTTTTTTAAAAAAAAAATTACATCTTTTTAGTAAATACTAAGTCATTAAAATAAATTTGAATTCAAATAAATGACATGTAATTCGTTAAACCTATTAGAAATGTGCTATAGTATAAAATCTTAAGATAAAATTTCTAAAACTGATATCTCTTTAAAAAGGTTAAAATTTTGGCTATAATTAAGTCTATTAAAAATTGAAATAAGTGAATTGCAATGGAAAAACCTGCATAAACAAATAAATTCTAGTAAAACAAATAAATTCGTGATATAAATCAAAAATCGTCAAATAAATTCGTAATATATAAATTCGTGAAAAAAAGCGCTTTCGACAAAATACTAAAATAGAGATCTATCGACAAAGACTACTCACTTCTGCCTAGCTTATGCTCTCTCTGGTTATTTCAGTTTCCGTTTTTAAAAGCGCTATATGTTGAGCCATCTCAGCTAGATTTGGCATGTGACATTTTTAGCGGCAATCATTGGTCGATTTTCTAGCGTTGCCATTCGGGGAGTTGTAATGAGACTTTTTTTTGTCGCCGTGTAAGAGAAATATATATATATATATATAGATGATATTAGGAGCGAAAAAATATCAACAATCGGACATAAAACTTTGAAAGAGTCTAAAACCTACGGAAACTTCTATATTGTTGAAACTATTTTAATGTCACGTTTATTCTCAATAAATATTCTGATTAAAAATTTATATAAATTTTAGGTTTTTCAAAAGAAAATGAATACTACACTTCAGGGAAACTTCTTATTCCTTTTCCTAAATAATTCTATGCTAAATGAGACTTCGGATATCAATCAAGGTCAAGATGTATCTGGCATGGCAAAGAAAATGAAAATTGCACAAGTAGTTGTTCTCATAATTGCATTTCTCGGAATATTTGAAAATTCTATATCGATACTTGCATTGAAAAAATCGAAAGAGCTTCGAAATCCAACAACTACATTTATCATAAATCTTTGTGTTGCTGATTTACTTTATTGCGTCTCTAATTTAATTACCTACTTAAATCATGAGTGGAACAAAAACTATTATATTTGCCGTTGGAATACAATGGCAAAATACTTCTTTGCTGGCGAATCAGTATACCTAATTGTAGGAATTACTATCAATAGATTTATCTGTGTTGTTCATCCCCAGGTCTATCGCTCAATATACAGGCCCATATCTCTAACTTTTCAGATTGTTTTTACATGGTTCTACGCATTATTTTTGGCGAGTCTACCATTCTTTGAAGTGTGGGGAAAATATGGTTATGATGTTAATGTAGGATTGTGCACAATTTTAAAAGTCAACGGTAAATCAGCGAGTAGTTTCCTTTTTATAACAGCTTTTGTAATTCCAACAACAGTCTTCACAGTTTGCTATCCTTTAATTTTTCGGGTCACCCATAAAGCATATAAGAGAGCAAGAAGATCTAATCGTTTGAGAACTACAGCAACATTGAATACAACTTCAGCAGAAGAGAACAGCAGAGGGAAAAAAACTTCTTATCGTGCAGACGCTAAGGAGATGAAAATTCTAAAAGTCATGTTGGTTGTCGTGGTGGCATATATACTCTGTTTTTTTCCGATAGCATTTGTTAAGATATCCGGAAAAGATGCACAGATGCCAACTTTCGTACTTTTTGCCTATTTTGCCGTAAATGTGTCGAATGTAATTAATCCTATTATATATATTCTGATGAGTGCTGAGTACAGGAAAGCATACCTAGAGTTATTCAAGTGTAGAAACAATTTCCTTGTATGGTCAACCTCATCGAATGCTGAACTAATTAGAACCTAATTGCTTGATGTGATTTTATAAACTAGTACAAAATCTATTTTTCAGATAGTTTTTACATGGTTCTACTCATTATTTTTGACGAGTTTACCATTCTTTGAAGGGTGGAGAAAATATGGTTATGAAGTTACTGTAGGATTGTGCACCATTTTGAAAGTCAACTGCACATCAACGAGTAGTTTTCTTTTTACATCAGCATTCATAATTCCAACAACTGCCTTCGAAATTTGCTATCCATTAATTTTTCGGGTAACATTTAGGAGAGAAAAATGAGATTTAATTGCTTGAAAACTTCAGCAACATTGATTACAGCTCCAGAAAAAGAAAATGACAGAGGAAAGAAAAACGTTACATCGTGCAGACGTTAAAGAACTGAAAATTCTATAAGTTATGTTTGTTGTCGGAAAAGATTCACAGATGCCTATTTTCATACTTTCTGACCACCTTCCCGCAAACATGCCTCATTTAATTACTCCTATGATATATTTTCTGATGAGTGCTGAGTACAGGAAAGCATACATAGAGTAATTCAAATGTAGAAAAAATTTCTTTGTTTGGCCAACCTCATTTAGTGCAGAACCAATTAGAGCATAATTGCTTGATGTAATTTTATAAACTTATACGAAATCAATGTGATACTTATGCAATATATTTATAAGGTAATGTTTAAAATTTTGAATAACATGGCCATGTCTTTTGCAATATTCATTGCTACTTAACTGTAGAATATGATAACTGTTTTGTACATAATAAAGTATTATTTATTTAAAATAGATAGCTATTAATTTTATTCCATTTTGCTGATGCAATTCGAATTTTTGAAAGGTACAGTAAGTAACCTTAATTTACAGAAACAAGGTCAAAATTTATTTTAATACAATTTTAAAAAGTAATACAGTAGTAAATCAAAATGGCATTTTAAAAGATAAAAATAGTTTCAAATAGGATTACTTGATCGATTCCTTTATAGTATTTCAAGCTTTAAAAATAAAGACATTTTCTTATGGATCAAAATTCAATTAAAATAAAATTTCCTTGATAATAACTTCGTAATCCTTATAATAAAGGGACCTTTTCATTCGCGTTATTCAGCGGAAGTTGATACTTGCATTTTTAGGTGTCTTTTGTTTTTGTGTGTTTCAACAATTAATTGGTGCGAAAACATGTCGAAAACAAAACAACAAAAATTGCTGTACTTTCTTTCAATAAATCATCGAACTTCTAGTGTAGGCTTGAGATAATTTATCCCTGTACCTTTCAATTATGTTTTTCTGTAGACTGAAGTTACGTGACACTATTAAACATTTTGTAGATTTCAAAATTGATGCGTCTACAAAGTGTTCCGTAATCATCACACTTAATGAGTATTTTTAGAATGCTCATTAAAAATGAAGCAAAAAAATAATTGCAATCAAAGTTACTATTGCTATTTAGACGATTATCTCCTTAATGATCGGTTAATTTTCAAGAAAATGGTCATAAAATTACCCATTTTTTCATCCCTGAAAATTATATAAAAATATGTGTATGAACAATATATATATTCATTTTTAATTTTTGAATTGCTTTTTGCTTGAAATTTTAAAAAATTAAATTTTTAGGAAAAGCCAACATTCAAGTTATAAAGTCTAAAAATATTTAAAAATAACGGGCTGGCAAAAGCATAAATAAAATAAAATAAACATATGAAGAGATAAGTTTAAAAAAATAAAAGCATATGATAAAATTAGAACAAAAAGTTTTTGATTTTGTAGAGATTAGTTTTTGTTTTTAAAAAAATTGATGTTTGTACTAACCCGTTACGGGTTTTCTATATTGGTTTGAAAAGTTGTTACTTTCCCGTTACGGGAACTTTAATTCCATTACTGTAGTTGTTGCTGTAAATAAATGTTTTTATTAAAAATACAGAACTTTTCTATAATATAGCTTGATACGCTACAAGGGTTACTATGACTTAATGTTGGTTTTCCAGCAAGCAAGGAAAGTTTAAAAAATATGTGTTTTAAACAATATTTTTAAAATTTTCCTTGTGTTTAAAAAATATGTGTTAAAAATATGTGTTAAAAGAATTTTATTAAACTTACGTATAATATGAATAAAGATTAGTATTTTTTTCTTGTGAGATAAATTTCAAAGCATACGATAGAGAGGCCAACGTCACAATCTGGACAGTAGTACCAAGTTTCCTTCCAACATCTCTCATTGTTTTCATCTCTTCTAATAATACCCTCAAAAATATCCTGGTACTGCCATCTGGTGTGTAAAATGAGAAATAAAATGGTTTCTGGTTGAAAGAAATGAATTAGTTTTATTCTTATTGGCGCGTTACTACTGAACACTCCAGCCCTGAAATAACACGGGAGAGGGAAATAGAGGGCGAAACCTCACCTAGTCGTTTTCACGGGAGCGAGAAGGAAGGGGTTAAAAAAAAACATTATCGAATCACTAGTCATGGAGTTGGGATAAAAAAAATTCCTAAACCTGTTTCATTGCTTGAAAAATCGTAATTATAGTTGCTTTCAGATTCTTCTCCGGTTTCTTTAGCCATCAAAAAAGTTTTAATGTTTTTAGTTCCAGTATAATGCATTCTCGGTAAGATTCACCAGATTTCGAAAGCTTTTTTATTTTTTTTCCTTCTTAAATATTTATTTGGGATTCTTAATGAGTACCACTTTTTTATTTCCTTTTTTTACTTGGATTTTATAAATATATATTAATAACTGGAATTGCAGAACATCTTGTATATTAAAATTCAGCATTCATGTAATCATTGCACGGATAAAAAAATTTCTAGTAAAATTACCGTACTGTATTTTAAAGACATTTCTGGTAAAAATAACCATATTTTTGGCCATAATAAAATAAAAATATACGGTATTTAAACAATTCATTTGGTAACTTTTTTGTTCATGTGATAACGGTTTACTGGAAATTATGGTTTTCAAAATAATACTTCATATTACCACACATTTAGTAAAAAAAAGGAAGCAAAATTGAAAAGTAAATTTAATCAAAGAGGTGGGTTTTATGCCACGCTCTAAGGTATCATGGTAAAATGACTAAATTTTACCACATTTACCCAATTTTATCTCATATTATAAAAGCGTATTTTATAGAAAATTTTACCAAAACCATTACCAAAGCGCTTCTGGGAAAATTATCGAGATTTTGGTTTTCTCAATGAGCCAAATTTTACCATATTCTGGAAGTTTTGACCATAAATCGTGAATTCACTAAAGTTTTCTCATAAAGATCGTTGAAATGAATTGACTCTCTACTTCATTCTTGAACAATGATGTTAAAGAAGTATTTTTTAACAAAAAATATTACAAAATTTATTTTGTAATATTTATAAGAGTTGTAAATGGTTAAAAACTTTTTCAGAGCTCAAATTTTAAAGTTGCAAGCTTTAAAATAAATATATTTAAGTTTTCTAATAAATAATGCAAAATTTTAAAATTTGAAAACTAAGTACAGTAGAATACATTTTAATGAATAAGAAAACAAAAAATATTTTGAAGTATTAATTGAAAATATAAAAAAATTACGTTTGTACGGTTCTCTGTTGGTTAGCAAGGAAGAAGTTGAATCTCTTTTCTGTCTAAAGGAGATCTTTTAAGTGTACTAAGTATTTAGTATTTAAAATTTTGGATAAATTATGAAAAGCTGGGGATAAAAAAACACGATAAGTGAGAATAATGTTTTCTAAGTAATATCGATTGAAAAATAATGAACGAAATTCGATGTCATTGTATTAGCAGTGTCGGATAAGATAGGTCAAATTAGTCCTCTTCCTTTAAACAGTTTATTTATCTTAACAGTATATTTAACTTTAAAATAAAAAAGTTAATTCAATTTTTTTAAATAATATTTTAAAAGAGAAAAAGAAACAGCGCTATGCAGAAACTTTCCTTTTCGACGGAAAGAAAAAAAGATATTGCACAATTATTGAATAGCTATATGCTTACATTATTTATTAATATTTAATTGAATATTAATAATCTTCTATTTGATAGTAAAATAGAATCAAAGAATCAAAATTGTATGAAGTAAAAGCAAAACTTTCTAAAACTTTTTTTTATGAATGCCTTTTCCAAGCGTTTTTTTCTCCAAGCATAAGATTTCGCTAAACTTGATCTCCAGAGCAGTTCTTTAAGCTTATGCTTTCAGAATTAATTTGAAGGAGGATTTAAAAAGAATAATGTATTTTTACACAAACCAATTATGCAATAAATTTCAATCAACTAATATCACTCTAGGCTTTGAAAGAATTAAATGAAAAACGGAATTTCATTTAATTGCAAAAATAAGCACGGAAAAGCTTTTTCCATTTCGTGGCGATTAAAAGTATTTAATGTCCTTCACCATGTGATTTTAAATTATACTAATTTTTAATCAAATCTTCGTAACAGTCTAAGTTAATTTAATATGATTGCTGTTATGGAGAAGCCAAAATAGAAATAGTGTTGGACAGAGTCGGGACAATTATTAATTAGAACATTCAAACTTCAAAATGTTACACTGAAGAAAAATCTGTGTTATTCAGTAAAGTGTTAGTTTTCATTCGTATGCCATGCCAGTGCAGATTCCTTAGAGCCTTAAGATTTTTCATATTGTAAAATCAATTTGAAGTACTATTTAGAAAAAAAAAACTCACCTTGAACTTAAAAACATATGATAGAGTTCAATGAACAACTTGAACTGTAATCAATAAATGCTGTTTCTTCTAATAGAAAGAAAATGGATAACATATCGCTCAAGTTAAGAATTCTCGAAGAACTTTTTGTAGAATCATTCTGGTCCATTACATAAACATTAGATTTGCAGATTTTCATTTTTATTAAATTAATGAATGAATAACTTTCAAAATCGTTTTCATTTTCATATAAACGGTTGCTATTCGCGATCGCAACGAACTATAGGGGGCGTTGTTGTATGAGACGCTTACCTGCGATTTCCATATGAACCGTCATTCAGTTACTCTGGAGACGNTTTCATTTTCATATAAACGGTTGCTATAGCTACAGCTAACGTATTTTAAATAGTTTGCTGTTTTAGAAACATTGTGTTAATTTTGCAAAAAATGTCTTTAAATCTTTAAAAGATTGTCAGTGATTTTAAGCGAAGCACAGAACAAAAGCAGAACAAAATTTTGCACTAATAATAAAAAATCTCAATTTTAGTTATAGTTCTAAGTTAGCAATCTTAACATCCAAACATGGCAAGTCCTTAAGAACATAAGTAGGTCTGTAAATTGGAATAAAAGTTTATCCCACAACGAAACATATTACAAGTTTTTGCTTTTGCAATACCAGAATACGTAACAAGCCTACATGGCAAAATGACAACGTTCTCCCAGCGAAAGAGTTCAACGCCCCCGCTGAGAAATAAAGTTCAATTACTAGTTAGACGATAGGTGTATCGTTTCCTCTAATTATTTTTGAATGAATTTATCAGGATTCTTTTCAATCGTTAATTTTTTTTGCTTTCATTCGATAAAAATGCTTGGATGTTTTTCCTTTAAGGATTCTGAGCGTTAATGAAGATGAAATATACTTTGTATTATCAACTTAATTGGGATTGATTTAAATTTTTTTCTCCATTTATCTTGATATTCATTTCTAAGTTGATTTTAACACGTATTCATATGGTTGATATGCATGTACTAGTAAGAGAATAAATATGGTTAATACGGTAAATACGGTGTCAAAGTTTATGATAATTTTCGATGAATTATCGATGTAGATTATTTTATTTTTTCCATTTTTATTAGGAATTATTATGTAACAGAATGAAGTAAACAAGAGTTAATAAAAATAAGGCAACAACACGAATTAAGAGTAATAGAATTAAAATCTGCGGTAATAAAAGATTCGGAATTATTTTGATAACTTTATGTTACACTGATGTATGTAATTAAATAAATTGTAAATTGCTAATGCAAACTTACGCAATCTATTCTTGATTCAATAATTTTGTATTAAAATGTACTTTTGTACTAAAACCACTTACACAAAATAGTATAGCAAACAATTACATAAAATAATTATTCATACAAATATTTAATCGTAAATATATATATATTTCAAACTGAAATTTATAAGTGCTGATTAACTTCAATGCAATAACTTTTTAACTATTATTAGAACGAGTGCCATTTTTTTTGAGATTTTAAAAATTTCAAAGAATGTTTAACATTTTAAACTGCTCTAATTCCAATTCACATTTTAGTAAGAGAATACAGTTTTTAAGTTCATTCTCGCAGCATATTGTAATCTCGCGCAAAACTTCTCTTCTTTATTTTATGAAATCAAGTTTTCATTACATTTCCTTTACCTATAACCGTTATTTTTATAACATTTCATAATAATTGAACTAAGGCAGCGGTAAAGTGGTCACCTTGTTAGGCTTAACAGATACTGGAATTTCATAGTTATTTGAGCATGAATTTTTAGACAGAGCTTACGTAAAGATTAATTTATGTTAGGAATGAACAGAAATATATTAATAACCTTAAGCAGCATCACATTGGGAAATTCTTACTTATTGTTAAAATATAAATTCTCGTAGTCATGTTTGTCACACAGTTTTTATACAGTTTCAATAAAAGAAGTTTATTAAGCAAAATTTAAATTAAACATTTGTCTATGAAAATATGAATCGAAACTAATTTAATTTTAAAAGCAAATAAACACTATTTTCTAAGAAACTAAATATCTCACACTCAATTTGTTCTCACAAATTTAACAATAAGACTTGAAATGTCATACAACTTTCGTTTACAAACTAATATTCCGATATTTGATGCAAAAAAGTTTATTTAACAGAGAAGGACTTATTTTAATAATTTGAATATGAAAGTAGATTTCAAAACTATTCTAGTTTTAAATTGAATGAAGCATGCTTTTTTAGAGAACTAAAATTAGTTAGTTTAAAAGAATTGTTTCGATTTTAAGATTATTTTAATGATTGAATTTGTAATGAAATATGCATTTTAAAGCTTTAGGAATACTGATGCGTTATAAAATATTATGATAATTTCAAACTAAAAATTTGCAATTTACCAAAATATGAGCATTGTATAAGGTATGTTAGAAAAGAATTGTTTCGTCGAACATTTTTCCTGATAAAAAATGCATTTTTATTAAAAAAATGTAATGTAAAATTTAAAAAAATAATTGCTTACAGTGTGAATCCAATTAAGTATATATTTGGTTTATATATGAATATTTTACCCAACATGACCCAGGTTTTCCCATGATTTTCTTATAAATCTTTAACATTGTCAGCTTCAGTAATATGTTTCTCTGCGCTTCATCTATTCTTCTGTTACATATTTAGAACTTAAAAAATAAAACGATCAAAGCTTGACATGGTTTCGCATAAGAAAAAAAAATAACAACAATGTAATCTTAATGTTTTAAATGAATGTGAATTATATAGAAGCCTTTGCGTACTCGTATTTAAAATATTTAATTAATGTGAAGAGTACTCAACCAAAAATATTCTGATGTGAAATTTATATAAATTTTAGGTTGTTTGAAAGAAAATGAGCACTTCACATCATGGCAACTTCTTCTTTCTTTTCCGAAATAGCTCATTGGCTAATGAGACTTTGGATACGAATCAAGGTCAGCAGATGGCTAATATAGAGGCAACTATGAAAATTGCGCAAGTAGTTTTTCTCATAATTGCACTTATTGGAATATTTGAAAATTTGATATCGATACTTGCTCTAAGAAGATCGAAAGAGCTTCGAAATCCAACAACTGCATTTATCGTGAATCTGTGCGTTGCTGATTTGATTTATTGCCTGTTGACGGTAATGAACTATATAAAGCATGAGTGGAACAAAAACTACTATTTTTGTCGTTGGAGTACAATGGGGAAATATTTCACAGGTGTAGAATCAGTTAATCTAATGGTAGCAATCACCATCAATAGGTACATCTGTGTAGTTTATCCAATATTATACCGCACCGTGTACAGTCCAAAATATCTAGCTTTACAGATAGCTTTTACCTGGATTTATTCCCTAATTCTATCACTAATTCCATTCTTTGAAGTTTTGGGAAGATATGGTTATGATCCTAGCATAGGACTTTGCATTATTCTGGGACAAAATGCAAAAATTGCCAATAATGTTTTTATTATAACTGCATTTGCGTCTCCAACACTAGCATTTGTAATTTGCTATCCAAGAATATTTTGGGTAACACACAAGGTTTCGAAAAGAGCTCGAAAATGCAACATTTCAGCAACTCCATCACAATTCCCTCACTGCAAAGGAGCTAGAAAATCCAATATTTCAGCAAACAAGATTAGCAAAGTGTCAAATTCTACTACAACTCCATCAGTGCTAAATGCGACTTCAGAGGAAAGTGATCTCAGAGGAAAAAAGACATCACATCATTTAGATGATAAGGAATCGAAACTTCTAAAAGTTATGTTGGTGATCGTTCTGGCGTTTATAATTTGTTATTTTCCAAGCACATTTGTTAAAATATATGACAGGGAAGCAGAGATGCCACTTTTTTCACTTTTCTCTCATTTCACTGTTAATCTATCAAATGTAATTAATCCTATTATATATATTGCAATGAGTGCTGAATTTAGAAAAGCATATTTAGAATTATTACTGTGTAGAAAAATCCGGTATGTAATGTCAACCACATCAAATACTGAATCAACCAGAACAGTTGAAAAATGATCAGTGCTTCATAAAAAGTGCTTAATCTCTTTACGGTAAAAAGTCATGCTCATCAAAGCACCATCTTTGCAATATTCATAATTTTTCTTGAAGTTTTGCAATGTGTCGCATGCTATAGTCTATGCTACTTTGGGGAAGTTTTAACAACACTCAAATACAATTGCAGTACACCTTCTAAGTAATACTGCATATGCCAAAGTAACCAATGTCAGGTCATATAGTGATGACGAACAATAATTTAAAGTCTTTACGGGATGATGCGTTATCTATATCATGCACAAATAAAAAGTATTGGAGAGAAAAAAAGAAAAATCTACACCTTTATTCTGCCAAAAAAAATATCGTACAATTTACAGTTTTTCTTCTTCTTTTTTTTTGCATTCCTAGGCAATGTGTTTGAGAACAATATTCAAATAAAAATTTTTTGTAGTAAGATATTTATTAATAGAAGCTAAATTCAAAATTGCTATATAATTTATAATTTAAAATTTTTTTTAATCACTGAAAAAGATAATAACAGTGATTTTTATTTAAATGAGTGGTGTGAATTTGAAAACAAATTGAAAGAAGGTCGATATCCGCTTTTTCCATCAACATGAATTCTCAATGTCATCTTTTTGTTTCACAATGAGCAAGAATCTAAAAAAAGAATCCATTCTTCACGGATTTTGTTTGCACAAGAGTAAATACCGTCATCCGGAGTTACTTATAAGCTGACAGGATAACGTTAGCAATTTTCTAAATAATTTTAACACGCTAATTTTAGAAACACTATTTCGTGTTTTGATTGTAAACTTTCATACCAATGTCAATGTTCCTTGTTCATATTGTTTCTTGCTTTAGTGGAGCTTTGGATCACACATTTCAAAGCTGTTTGTACTTTTAAGGTAAAGTTATTTTACATAATTCTAACAATTTCATCATCAATATGCACTTTTTATAACTTAAATAAAAAAATCTTAATTTTAACTAACTTTAAAATTTTTTTCAATACAATCTCAAATGGTCTTCGTATTGATAATATTTCCTGAATCTGAATAATTAAACTCATTGTTGCTTCTTGCTCAGTATAAGGTAAAATTGGAAAATTTTGAAATTGGTCAGTGGTCATTTTTAACAGTGGTCAATTCTTAAAACGTGTGGTTACTTTTCTTAGAATTCAAAATTTAAAACGATTAAAGAAACTGTTGTTATTAGTAATGTAAGGCATACCTTTTAAAGCATTTCATAAAATATGATTCACATTTAAAATTAAGAAATAATTTTAAGAAACAAACGTGAAATAAAGTAAATTTCAGAACGTTATAAAATATTTATAATAATTTCATATTTATTAAAAAAAAAACGGAAATAATTTACATGGATTGCATTTTCGATGAAAAAAGTGGCGAACGAATGGAGACTGACAAACTATTTTTAATACCAATTGTTTTATTTAATCCCCCGTGACCGGTTGCTACCATTAATTTAGCATTATACTGTACAGGGTAACAAAGACCACCAAATTTTCCCCAAAGAATTGTTTTTCTTTATAGTATCAAAATTCTTCTATTCCTGTTTTAGAAACGTATGCATTTATTTTAACAAATTATAGAATTATATTTGTTGGTAAAAAAATATTGATATCTATAAAATACATAACAGGAGTAAAATTTATTCTGTTTCTAAAAAAACTTCTTTTTTAACTCTTAACATTTTAATCGTCGTCTAAACTTTTTTTTGTCTTTAAATTACATGAGTTAGAAATGCTACAGACATGTATACATGGAGTGTAGTTGTAGATCTTAGCTCTACATTAGTTAACTAACAAAAAAATTAAATGCTCATAAGTTGGCTAAGTAAATTATAGCTAAAACAAAAAGTTTTTTCAGTCACCTCGACTGACACAAATGCAGAAAGAGCTGCAGACTTTGCTTTATTTATGTTTATTATTATTATTATTTAATATTTCAGGGTAAAGGGACTTGGCTTTCTTACCTTTTTAGAACCGATGATCTTTTGCAGTTTTAGCTGTTAGTTCAAATATTGAATTAATTATTTATGTTTTTCAAGATGAAGATGTTTGTACACTTATAATAAAAAATAGTTCTCAAATTAAAAAAAATGGGAGGCGTTTTGAATTAAAGAACTTGTCATACTGAGCAGACTAGTTTTATGCAAGGTGTCCAAATGTGCTGAAACGCTCCATTTCCTTCGTCTCCTTTATTCTAAGTGGGGCTCCAAAGTGATGGAGCAGAATTTTGTGCAGAGGGTCCAGTTTTGTGCCATCACATATATTTTTAAAAATATCAAACAAGGCATTTTCTTTTACTTTTTCAAGATGACATGTATTTCTTGTGATTCCGCTATTTAAAAAAAAATGTCTTTATCGTCGTCTTTTTACAAGCTCCACTTATGAACCAAAAAACAAGTTCAATTGAGACACTATTTTAACTGGAAATTTAAAATATGCCATAAAAAATATGAGTTTCTACTTTAGATTTTTACGTTCACCCTCACATCCAGGAAGTGGTATTGGACAGTCAAGTTCGACCTCATTGAGTTCATCTTTTTTAAATATTTCATTTGTGCAATTTTAGATATTTGTCCCCATGTGTATTTCTAGAGATATTTGATAGTTTCCATTTATTTTGGACACACTGTATAGTAAACTTGGCAAGTGCATTTTCCATTAAAATCCATTTCTTCAATAATGAAGAAATATTACTTTTTAATAATTTATTTACTTCAAAATACAAATATTTAAAAAGTTGCAAAAACGTACATAGTAAGTCTCTGCTCTATAGATAACACTTTCACCGAAGAACAAGTTCTGCAGGAAATAACGAATTGCTGCAGCAAATACGGCTTAGGGCCACTATACTAAATTTCTACTTACTGCATAAGATTTAAAGCGATTTAAGGTTTTCTGATATATAGTTAAAGGTGCTTATTTTCAAAAAAATCGAAACTTGCATTCTTACGAAAAATTGACGCTTTTGGAAGAAAAAAAAGTGCAAAAAAACTATAAAAGAAATAAAAAATCCAAGAAAATTTTTTTTTACCCTTATGGTAACCTTTGTTCAGACATAATGTTTTAATATCACAATTTTTCGCTGTAAATTTCTGATACAAAATTTATACAAATTTTAGGTTATTCGTTCAAAAGAAAATGAATTCCACACTACAAATCAACTCCTGGTTCCTTTTTCAAAATAATTCACTGGAGAACAAAACATTGGACACACACCAAGGTCAAGATAAGTCTGTGGATCAAGATATGGAAAGAAATATGAGAATCGCACAAGCATTTTTCATCATCATTGCCTTTCTCGGAATATTTGAAAACTCTATATCTATTCTGGCCTTGAGAAAATCAAAAGAACTTCGAAGTCCAACGACAGCATTCATCGTAAATCTATGCATTGCTGATTTGATTTATTGTCTCTTAACGCCAATCACCTACTTCAGGCCTGAGTTGAACCAAAACAACACTCTTTGTCGTTGGAACACAATGGCGAAATATTTCGTTAGTGCAGAATCGGTAAATTTAATGGTAGCAATCACCATTAATAGGTTCATTTGTGTAGTTTACCCAAAATATTATCGATTGCTGTATAGTTTGAAATACCTAGCTATTCAAATAGCCTTAACGTGGGCATATTCCTTAACTCTGTCCCTTCTTCCATTTTTTGAAGGGCTTGGAAGATATGGTTATGAGCCTAAAATTGGGTTATGCACCATTCTGGGACCCAGCGCCAAAACATTTAATTATATATTTGTCATATCAGCATTTGGATTTCCAACTCTAGCTTTCATAATTTGCTATCCAATAATTTTTTTGGTTGCCCATAATGCTTCTAACCGCGTGAAACAGTTCAATCTTTCAACAACCCCAGCGATGCTAAACGCAACTTCAGAGGAAGGTAGAGGAAAAAACACATCCTCCCACCTAGATGATAAAGAAATGAAGCTTCTGAAAGTGATGCTGGTCATTCTTGTGTCGTTTATAATTTGTTATTTACCAATTACATATATTACAATGACTGGAAAACCCGCTCCTGCTTTTATACTTATCGCTCGCTTTGGTATCAATCTCTCAAATGTCATAAATCCTATCATATATATTGCAATGAGTGCTGAATTTAGGAAGGCATATTTAGAGTTATTCCAGTGTACCAAGATATGGTCTCCATCGTCAACATCAGCAAATACTGAATCAGCCAGAGTCTGAACAGTTGAAAAATAAAAAAATTTATGTGCCTCAATTTTGAAAATGTAATCCAGTTGGTAAAAATACTTGAGGGTGCTCCTTGGCGATTTATGTTTTACGCCATTCCTGTTTGCGCGGAACACCGTGGCAACAGGAATGGCGGCCAAAACATAATGATATTTCAATAAAACATTGGAAAATTTCAACAAAACATCGACCGAAACTTTACAAAATTGCAATGAACCCAATGTAAGGAAAATTAATAACCCCAATAAAGTGCCTTTTGAATCAAAACAAAAATTTACGAAGTAAGCACAGAAAGAGAAGGAAAAAAAACACAACTCACCTCTTCATTAAGCTTGAATATCCTCTGATTTAGGTGCGCAGAATTCTCTAAGAGCAGTTAGATACTGCCTAAATTTGTCATGAATAGAATCTGTGTACCTTCATCGTCACATAAATTCGGCCAAATACGAATCAAAAATGGCGTTTGTGGTACTGGACTGGCGGGGACATTTTTTTCTAAAGTCCCATTTTCTGACTGCCCACATACCTTCGATCTTATTGACCACAAGCAAAAGTAACCTTACTAGCCGGTATCTAACGTAGAACTAATGGACCTCTGAAAATACATATACCGTTGAACATTTTCAAATAACGCTAAAATCTAAACCAATCAGAATCACGAATGGGTTTCTACATCGCCCAGCTTGGCGTCTTGGCTATCAACCGCGATCACAACTTGACGAGAACCAAGGGGCACACTCAAATATAGTCTACCCATCCAGCTCTTTGTAAATAGTTTAGTACTTTAATTGTATATAAATATCTTTTTTGGTGTTCTTATTTTACACTGAAGGTGAATATATGAGGCTATGAAGATATGAGGAACACATGAGTAGCTGTATTTTTTTTTAGATGGATGCAATGTACATTATTGAAAAATACAGAAAATGAGCTATCTCAGATCACAGAAGTCCATTTCAAAAACCGTTTTTCTAGGTTTAATTACTATCAAAAACTAGTAAATAAAAAATTGTGTGATTTAAGTAGAAAAAATATGTATAAATCATCACAAAACTAGAGAAAAAGCTTTCCCAATTATGGCAGTTAAATAAGAAAGTTTTTTCACTTACGTCAATGTATGTGAAGCTCATATTAATGAGTTTGGGTCCTTTTTCAACAAAAACATAACAAATTTTGTTTTAGACAAAATGCGAATTTATTTAAGCAGTTGCAGTCATAATTTATTGGTACTTGCCAGTAAGTGGCAGCCGAGAGCTGCCCGTATGACCGTAGAAGGGTTATATGGCAGCTTTTGTGTCATATGCAGCATATTTGTCAAATAAAGAGCAAAATTAAAGATTGATATTATAATTTGGTGATTAAACTGATAAAAAAGCCATTAAAACTTCCACCTTTATTTACGAAAACAAAAAAAAAAACAAAAAATGAAGCGTAAGCAATAAAACTTAATTTTTAAATTATCCATTTACAGAATGCGTTTTGCATCTTTTTGTTTTTGGAAATGTTTTGTTTAAATTTTCTCGCACCTAAGAATCCAAGCTTGTTGTATTGATAGAAAACCCAAGAAAACTTCTAATTGATTCTATGAAAATTTGCTCCTGTACCTTTCATTTCGTACTTTTTGTGGTGTGGTCAAAAATCCTCTTCCTATATCATAAAAATATTACAAATCACAGAAACCAACATTGTTTTGCGAGAACCAAGTGGAGAAATATGAAACTTCAGAATTAAGCTCCAGCATTCATGTTAGATACACTACTATACCCTTAAAATAAGTACAAATTTATTGTTTTTGTACAAAAGAGTTTTGTTTCTTGTCTATTGTTCCTTTTTCTTACTGTGCAACGGATGCCTTCCTGTTGTACAAAAACAAATATTTTTGTTGAAATTTATTTAGGAATGTAAATTTTACTATACTGTAACTGAAATTTCGAAGCAAATAAAGTATAAATAACTAAAAAAATGACTTTTCTTTGTATTGACTGGCTAAAGAATGAACCAGCCCATGGGTGCAGTGTTAAAACTAGACAACTGTATAAAATATACTTTGGAAAAAAATGCTTGCAATTACTATTTAGTTTTAATTAATGTTTTGTCTTATTGTAAGAAATGTCTAGTTCTAACACGTTCTTCTTTGTGATACTTGGATTAATTGCAATGTTTTCTACACACAAACATAAAAAATGTATCTATAAATCGAAGTTGTAAAATTGAAAATTACTTAATTTACTTACTATACTATTTATAAATAGGTATTTGAAAACTTCGTATAGAAATTGAAATTTATTCGTTTTCAATAGTTTATACACTGTAAAAAATCCACGATGAAATTGCGGTAAAAGTGGGTGCCAGTATTTCTCAACTTGAAACTTGACGAAACAAAAAATCTGATATGGTGTAATTTTTATCTACAGTAATATTTACTGTAAAAACAGTGAAACACTGTTATTAAAGAAATGTATCTGTAAAAATTATGGTATAAAATTTTACTGCTAAAGCGGATTTTATGGATTCTGCACCCATAGTTCCAGTACTTTTTTGCCGTAATTTTATATGAAATTTTTTTCAATGTCTTCACGAAAACCAATTACAGCCTCAACCAGATGGCATCTTTCAATTCAGTAGTGCCTGGTCTCCTACCTTTTTTAAGTACTTATTAAAACAGAACCCATTACCACAATGCCAGTAGTAAGTATTATCAAAATTAATGAAGCACCATTAGAGACAATACGACAAGTTTACACGGTTTCACGAAGTGAATAAGTGCCATTAATTTTGCTTCTTAGTATATAATTAGTTTTTATTTTTGAATCAATTACCGTTGATTTCAAATTACTTAGTTTTATTGAAATACGTTTCAAAAGCGTAATCATGAGCAAAATAAACGCCTAGTTTCAGACAACTTTAAACAGGCTAATTTGGTGACGTAGCAACAACGATCACGTTGATCATTGAAATTAGCTGATATAACGAGCAATAAACTCTTTTCATGATTAAATAAAGTTATAATTTAGCAATGTATCATTGATGTTATCTTTAAAATACGTGAAAAAGAAAACAAAACAGAATCCCCTACATTTTAATTTAAATCAATGTTAAATGTTAAGCTATTGTGAAAAAATTAAACATCTCTCTCAAGCGATTCCATTGAAATATTTGAACGAATTCTATGAGAGAGGGCTGAATTATACCTTTCACATAATGTTCAAATTTTAGAAAACCCGTATATCATGAGTAGGACTGGGCTATAAATCGATATATCGCGACATATCGATTTAACGCCTGTATCGGCAGGCCGATACAGCGACTTTCGTTCAAGGCGATGCATCAGAAATCTGATTTAAGCCGTCGAATAAAGAAGATGAACGATATAGCGATATACGATATAGTGATACAAGACACGCAAAGATCTCTTACGTCCAGTGCCAACACGCGCTGGGGAATACGATGTACGTATCGTTCGTTATATTGAAACGGCCTTGATTGATGAGCGGTAGAATCAGAATCAGTTTTGAGAACATATATCGTGATCTCGCATTGTTCGTTTTAATTTTCTATCAATATTGTCAGTTGAATATATTATCGAATATCATAATTCTTTTGTTTTTATTTTTAAGAAATTAAACCTTACTTTGTTTTTTCGTTCAGAATTCGGTAATTATTCAATTTAACTTTATTATTTATGTGAAATAATAATGATAAAAAATAGTGTTGTTTCAAAAGTGTTTTTTTTTTTTTTTGTTTGATTTCTTTAGCACTTTGTTTTAAGCGCACAAATAATTTTTAACGAACTTATTTTTTAAATTTTCTTTCTATATTGTTAGGTAAATATATTGATAAATTTCAATTTCATTTATTTTTTTATTATTTATTTTCAAACTAAGAAATCTTTCGTTATTTGCGCGATCATTTTTAGAAAATATAACATTA